AGCACGCGCACCAGCTCAAGCATGCCCATGTGGGTGCACGATCACATCAAACGGCTCAAGCGCTGCGCATCAACCTCTCCCTCATCTTCTCGTCGCCATGTGCCGGTGGTGGTGCTGCTGTTGTGTATGGCTCCAGGTCGCGGCCCACTGGCGGCTGCCGGGTGAATGGTTCGTACCGCGGCGCGTGGTCGTGGGTGATGATGGGTGACGAGGGGTAAGAAGTGTTGAGGAGGAGGAGAATCGTGCCTTTGTGGACGTTACACCCGCCACTGGTGCCCGCGTTCCAAGAGGAAACATGGGCTTCTCTCAATCCTCGCTCTCTCCCATCCTTCAATCCAACACACACACACACACACACACACACAAGCGTCCACACCGTCCATGTGCACCTGTATGGGGGGGGGGTAAAAAGTCGTTGAGCGGGTCATCCGTGGTGATGCGCGCCTGGATGCTGAATCCGCAGGTTGGGATTGTGTCCTGTTCGAGCTCACAAGCGTCAAAGTGCTAGTTGGCAGAGCACCACCAGCCATCGCATCATCAGCGCTCTGGCGAGACGATTGCTGACGATTGCTGAAATTTCGCAACGATACCCACAAGTTTTCAGTAACTGAAGCAACCTTGGTTTGTTTGTGTTGTCAAGATCACATCACACATCACGACCTCGCTCGCTGCATGTCTCTGTCGATGGCCGCACGTCTGATTCAGTTCAGTGCACTGGCAAGCATGGCCACCATGACAAACGTCACCCAGTCCCTGCCTTCCCTCGCTTACTCTTGCGCTCAGGTGATTAATGTGTGTGTGTGTGCGTGCGCGTGTGTGTGGTAGTCACCTGTTTGCCACTTGCTTCCTTGGCTGCTCTCTTTGCTCTCCTCTGTCTTTGGTGCTCTCTTTGTCTCCGATCACCCGAACACTGTACCCTTGTGTTGCTCGTTCGCTGGCAGATGCAAGAGAATGAAGCCAAGGCAGCCAAGGCCAGCGGTCTCGAGATGTGGACGCTCATGTCCAGGTGCATACCACTGCGCATTGCTGCGCATTGCTCGCATCGACCACCACGATGTTGTTCTGGTTTGGTTTGGTTTTGTAGAACGCTGTAGGGTCCTTGTTGTCGGTGCCGTGTACCAATTCACGCGTGCAGCGACTTTTGTTGTCTTGCATGCGCGTGTTGGCTGGAACAGGGCGGGTCAGGCCGCGTACCACACACTGCGTGTCCACCTCCTGCAAGGCACCAAACCAAATCACATCACCGTGCTCGCTGGCAAAGTAATACCACAAGGTGGCGCAAGCTACTGTTTGATTTGATCGTGTATGTGTGTGTATGTGCATGTGTGCGTGTGTGTGTGTATTTATTTTTGAGAGCACAACTGTGCCTGGATAACTTTATGTCTATTGCCCGCCAGGCTCATGCATACACAGTCCATATCTCACATAGTCACATACTCACACGTGTACGCAGGGCAACAATGGTGGGGATGGCTACGTGGTGGCAGAGGCTGCACTCAAGGACGACATCAACGTCTTGCTTGGCCAAGTAAGGCCCTCACATGGGAGCGTGTGTGTATGTGAGTGTATGTGAGTGCGAGTGCGAGTGTGTGAATGTATGAATGGTGTGTATGTAAGTGTGTGAATGTGTGTGTGTGAATGTGAGTGTGTGTGTGTGTGTGTGTGTGTGTGTGTGTGTGTGTGTGTGTGTGTGTGTGGGTGTGTGGGTGTGTGGGTGTGCGCATGTGTTTGCGATCGCCTGTTCGCTGCATGATCATCTTGCGTTTCGTTGCTTGCTCACCACGACAACGATTCGGGTGGCGTGGCAGGTTGGCGACCACATGTCCCTCAAGGGCGACGCCGCAACTGCTCGGTGAGCACGCGCAATTCTGTTTTGCCTGCAGGCACACACGTGCCGAGCCCACATGCTGGCACACGCGCGCACATTGTTGCCGTATGCACCGTGCCTGCAGCTTCCTCATTCATCACACACACACACACACACACACACACACACACACACACACACACACACACACACACAATATCACACACACACACACACACACACACACACACACAACACGACAGGGACC